AAACACACAGATGAAATGACAGAAATTGCCGGTAGATGAGAGATAAGAGTGTGTGTGCAGGAGGTGTGTGTGTGTGGGGGGTGTGGGGGTGTGTGTGTGTGTGTGTGGGTGTGTGTGCAGGCAAGTCAGACTGACAAACAATTTAATGGTGGATTTACCGAGACAATGACAAGCAGGAGTTCATATTTCAACATCCTATCAATGCCATGCCGTGCGCGTGTAAAATTAATTTGCGAGTGGAAAGAAAGAAATGAACGTCACTGGTTCTTTCGCTCTGCGTTTATTTTTTCTTTTCATTACACACGCCATTACCTCGTGCCCAAAAACGTGTCTGCTTCGTCCACCATCCATCATGTGTTCCCCAACAAAATTACACATACAGACACAGGGGATGGAATCTGAGGGATGCCACTTAATGCACGACCCTGGTTTACATTCAGAGTAAAGCCAGGAGGCCCATAGACACTCAACCCTTTAAAGCCCAATCCAAGAATAAAACATAAAATGACTTTTTTGTTTTAAGTCTTTATTTGGCCTTTTAAAAAAATATGTAAAAAGAAAAAACGGAAATATATTTTTAATATTAATAATTTATTACTATGCGATAAGTCAAGATTATTTTTTGTGTAGTCTTCTGCCCCCTGTTATCAGGTGTATCTGATTGTGTACAATAGGATTTTGAGCAACGTTTTTACCATTAAATTATGCAAAAGTAGTCAGACGCAAAACATTTCAGGAACCGTACGAATCAAATATGATACATTTGGCATTACAGGGTTAACAGCAAACACGATAACAGGAATAGTTCATGGATTCCAATAAGCTTTTGCAGCTGAGGGATGTTTTGTGGAGTTTTCTCACTTGCTTCTGCAGCTTTAGCTTCGCTTTACACTCTTAAAAGTCAGAGACGCTGCATCTGACTGGAAGTGTGATTCACAAAATGATGAAGTCATCTCATGATAGAGACATCTCATGACTAATAGTACACAGCACCTGTCAGTCCAGTCTAAAACTATCAGGTCTCCTTTTCTCTCTTTCAGTGTTTGAGATAGCTTTGTTTTTGTTTATTTCTCATTTAAAAGAATAGAAGAAAACCCAAAACACTCTATATACTCTTTCTCAAATTCGTGAATAATCTTATTTACATTGAAGACTTTTCTTCCTTCACTTATTTGCGACTCCTTAGAACACATTCACACATTGGCAGTTTGGGCACACCTCAGGCAAAGAGGGGGCTGTTGCCTTAAAAATAGGGAAATGGGCCAACTCACACCTATCAACGGGAGATTAAACTAACACTAACCAACAATGGCCGTCACTCGGATGGTTACATGACATCAGCGTTACGTGGTTAAAGACACAAGGACAATGAGGAACAGTGGCCACTTTAAAGGACGGACCTTTTCAGAGCAAGCAAACTATAAAACACCACTATGTGTAAGCAGCCACAGGCGCTTACTAATTAGAAGCCTTAAAGAGACAGTGTCCCAAAAAAAAGGAGATGCTCTAAAAATAAAAGACATTCATAGAAGGGTGGATTTAACTCATTTAACTAACTAATTTCAAGCTTTTTTAGTTCTTTCCCACAATAGAAAGGTACATTTGAAGCTTTGGATACTGTGGGCCCTTATGTATGAATATAAGAACATACCATTTTGGCATGCTTTAGTTTCCCTCAGTCACTCAGTCACCCAGACCCAGTGCTTGTTGCTCATCGAGGCTTGAACTCTCTAATGATGAAGACAAATGAGCTCATTATCGAGTGTTTTCATGCATGTTCTCTGTGTGTGTGTGTGTGTTTGTATTCGGTAATACATGGCAGACTAACAGATCTTTGCACAAGTGTGGTCCCGTTTTCAGGTTGCATTGATGTTAATAGACGTTTATCTGTTTACAGATTCTAACCATAGCCCTTTCTCTTGAGGCTAATGCCTCCGTTTAGCTTAAATCAGAGTATTTTCCCTCTTTTAAAACGAACTCTGTGGGGTATTATTGCTTATGAATGCACTGAACAATGATAAGCCTTCGTACTAATGAAAAGGAAGAGAAAGGAGCCACTTACTTTGTGCTGCCCAATGTCATAAGCCAGGTTTTCATCAACTGAGAATAGATGCTGTTAACCTGCTCCTCTGTCTGTTCAGTGTAAGAGCAAAGCTTTTACAGAGAAGAGAAGAAAGCAGGACTGTCGGTAAAGTCACGTGAAATGTGATATAATGAGATTTAACACAGGATTTAGGACTGTGCATGTAGGATGGAGCTGCAGTTCCAATGCTGACCATTAGGGGGTGCTAAGAGACAAAGGGGCAACTGGA